AAACACGAATAGGCTATTAATGGGCTATTATTTGTGATATACTTTAATTGTTATAATAAATAAATACAAACACAAACAAACAGTTCATCAATAGATTGCGTTTATTATCAATAACTTTAATTATAATTAAATGTCATTTTCATTAAACATTTCATTCATTTGTCAAATATTTATGTCAAACGCAAGAAAGTATTTAGATTTTGTGTATGTATTGCTTGTCATTATTGCCATCAAATAATGCAATACCTTTTGTCCGTCGCCTTAAAGTCGATCTTAATTATAGTTAAAGCAAACGGAAGCTATATTTTACGTGAATATACTTCCAGGCATTTTAGGTATCATTTAATGAGATTAGTTTAAAAGTAAATTTGATTGACAATAGTATTAATGTGATTGTTGTTTATCACACAAATAGGGTGTATGTGTGGGGTTAGGAAAGAGGTTTAAAAAGGTTATAATAAGTGCCTATAAGAGCGCAAATAGACTCAAACATATAGGGAATCTGTTTTATTGTTTACGAGAATTCAAAAATATAGGAATTTAAGGACTATTGAAATTTTCACTCAACTTAAACGACACAACACTTAAACTAATAGTATTTTAATATTCAAATATTGAGAAATTTATCGTTTTCAATATTTGAACCAAAAATAACTTGTGTTTGTTGTTTAAAAGAGAGGAATTTTAAAATGCAATGAATAATAAGAACCGTAAATGTTGTGACAATTTATGTCACTTTGAGATCAATTCCGTGGAAAACAAAATTTTTAATAATTTTTTAAATTCTCTCAAATTAATTAAATTTTTGTATAACCTTTTGCTTAATGAATATATTAAACAAACAAAATTTAAAATGTGTTTTTAATTCTTATTAATTAATGTCATAAATCATGGAAACAGACAGTAAATATACATAATAATGGACTTTATGTTATTTATTATATGTGTTACATATGTTATGACTTGAATTCAACGTAAATGTTTTGAAACAAATCATATCTCTTTCTCTCGCTTTCTATCATCATTTGGTCAAAAGATAATTCATTATATTATATATTCTTATAATAAATGGATTCACTTATAAGAACTCATTCATTGATTAATGCTTTCATTGATTAGTATAGAGTGAGACATATGTAAGACTGATACTAATACTAATAAATAAAATCTTATGGAAACTTGTCGTAGAATTTATTACATTTCTGTGACTAAAATTAGAGATCAAACTAACAATGAGATGCTATTGAGTTTAAAATGAATTATATTTTCACCAAATTGTTTGAATATTTGTTTGAATAAACTTTTCCCACACATTACTGTCAATATTTGAGACGAATTCCAAGTATTAGTGAACATATTCTGACACTTTTAGTACAATATTTACCATTTTTCTCGCTATCTTTGGCAGCGTTTACGACTCGTTCAATGCATTCATTCAGTGATTACATTATTTAGACCGTAATAACAATTATCATAACATTGATAAACAATTTGAACACATATTTATAAATTATCGAAATATTTCAATGAGTCATGAATTTAATATTAGACAACGGATTGTGAACTGAAAGTACTGAAAGGTATAGGGGTTTTGATCGCATAATTGACACCAAAAGTCTTCACTCCATATGTGGTCAGAGATAATAAAGACAACGCATTGAATAAACTTATAATTAATGTGTTTAACAATTATAAGAGTCATGTGTTGGCTATTCTTGTTTCTAATCGCAATTTTTATTCACACATTCATTCAATTGCGGACAAAAAAGTTTTCATTTAATTTTTAGCACAACTAAATGCTGTGTTTGATTGTATAGATTGTAGGCAATAAATAGTTGTGAAAACAAATTTAGTATTATTGACACAAACAAACATTAATTAATTCTGTTAATCAAATATAATGTTAGTTAAATGCAAACCATTATATGCGGACATTATAATTAGATTCGTGTAAAATGTGAGCGAATGGAGGGATAGGGGAGAGAAGTTGCCAATAAATTTGGATGATTTGGTTTTTGTTGACAATAATTTGAATTAATGGCACCAAAAGAGTATATCATTTCTATAATTCATAATTAATTCATGAATTGATAGATAATTATATGGCATTCACTACTGTATAGGAGTAATATAGGAACTCATAAGAGCTTCACATCTATCATCACTTGTAAGATAAAGCACTCAACACTTAATTCATGTTATAACAAGAATTTTTGAAATTTACTACTTAATACATTACATGAACTAAATATTGAACCAATTTCATCTTAATCATCATCATTTAGACAATACTCGCAATATTCTATCAGTTTTATATTTATAATTATTTGAAATATTCAAAACATTTTGATATTATTACATCTATTGTAAGAATCTTTATATCCTATTTATAATATATTAATAAATAATTAATAAAATAATCATTAATACTCTTAAGCAATGATTTACGTTAATAGCAAAATTTGATGCTTTTTAAACTAATTATTGAACAAAACAACATTTAATACAAAATAATGTATTTTTATTACAAATAATAAAGTGAACATAAAAATATTATGTGGAGAGAGAGAGAGAGAGAGAGAGAGAAAGAGAGAGAAAGAGATATGATTTGTTTCAAAACATTTACGTTGAATTCAAGTCATAACATATGTAACACATAATAAATAACATAATGTTCATTATTATTGAGAGAGAGAGAGAGAGAGAGAGAGAGATGTACTCAAGAGATGTAACTCTAAGTGGTGTATAAATTGGTAGCAATTATTACTTTTATTCTTTCACTGAATTGAGTATTAAATGTGTTATAATTTAATATATAGTGAAAAGAGAAGTGGAATATCGGATCAAAGACTCGCCGAATTGGAAACACTTCTGGAACTGAAGAGATTGCGCGAGAATTTGCGGACCCGAACACCAGTGGCGTACGGACTGATTGACCCTACTAAAATGTATGTATATCACCATGTTCACATTATGTTATTTTACAATAGTTATTCATTGATTCGCAAACTAATAATGAATTCAATTTAATGCTTATATAGTGGGAGACGACGAAAGCGCGACCATTACTTCAAAACCAATTATTTGGATAAACTTCTGAGAGACAAACAGACGACGAGGGCTGAGGTGCCGGTCATTGAATTCAATGATTACAATCATTACAATTAGTAAAAGTAATTATTGTTATGATTTATATAATAATATAATAATAATAAACGATATGATGTGTGGATTATACTGTACTACTGATGAACAAAATACTAGTCATGTGTTTAATGTCTCGGTTATAACATTCTCAACAAACGGCACAATTCGTCAATACATTTAATCAATTGTTAAATAATTTATTCATTCAATTATTTATTTCATTACTTATATATCTATGTAATTGTCTCTCAGAGTGTTTTTTATATATAATTTATTCGTTTTTCTAATGTATTAATTACTTAATTTAGAGCCACTTTTATTGTTATTTTTACTATTATTTATTGCACACAACAAATAAATCTATTATTTTTTATTAAAAACGATTTTATTTTTATTGCTTTTAAATTTGATTGTAATTTATTAATAAAACATAAATAACTATTTGCTAACGAAATTAAGTTATAGTTACAGAGAAATATTACATTTAATTTAATCTATATATCAATCTATTTGTTTGTATCGATTGTACTCAACAATTGTTACTTTTCTTATGTAATAATTTATGGCAAATATTATATAATATATATTAATGCAAATACAAGTCGTATGAATGAGTGCTTCAGTAGAAAAAACCGATGGAAATCATTGGGAATGTCTCTCCATTTGAATATATAAAACACCAAATTATCAGCAAAACTAAACAAATGACTAGATTTTTGAAAATTAAATATAAAGTTGTACTGAAAGTTGTATTTCAAATATTAAGCTAAACATAAAAGAGTCGACAAAAATAATAAATTAAAATGAAAGTCGAGTCAAACGATGCAAACAAATAGTGAATTATCGATTCAAACGGTGCTTTCAGTTCAACACATCACTCGCTAAACAATGTCTTTCGTTTGAGATGTCATTTCATTCACGCATTTATTTAACTTTTTCGCGGCGTTTTGTTCCCTCTTTGAGTCAATCCTTCAAAGCGTTTAAACGTATAATTAATAAAAACCCAATCTTTCAAACCAGTCGTTTCGGTCGGCTCTTTGGTCGGCGCAGAAGCTATGAATTCCCAACAAATTGTATTCAATTAAAACAATTCAAATTAAACGCCAAATTCAATAAACTTACGTATTTTGAGATCAACATCAGGGAAGTCATCGAAATTAGAGGTGTCGTCAATCGATTTCACTTCCACTGCTATAGCGGCCGGCCTTTCACTACACATTCATATGACAAACAAAGCGTTTAAACAATCGTTGAATACTTCAGACGTCGTTCAATATAATTACCGAATGTGTTCCCAATCAACGCCTTTGAAGAATGAGTGCTCTTTAATCTCTTCAATACCAGCGCCAGAACCGATACGTTTGTCGGCCTCCGCGCAGAACCGTTGAATCATATCTCGGGACTCATTACTGATGGGCACTTCGGGCGGGAAGACAAGAGTGTCCCTCCAGTTCATCACTTTTCTGTAGGTCTCCTGCGGTGTCTCTGAACAGAACGGTGGGTATCCGATAAGCATCTCATACATTATGACTCCCAGTGACCACCAGTCGGCACTTCAGATACATTAATTTAAAGCATTAATAAATTACTTAACAATTAGGTGGTAAACAATGAGGTATACCTCGAAACATAACCGGTTTGCATGAAAACTTCGGGCGCAATATAATCAGGTGTTCCGACTGTAGAGTACGCCAATTGTCTCCTATTTTTCTTCCAACTCTCGGCTCTGCGTTTAGAGTCCATCGGATTTGATGTGAAATCACTGGGTTTTGCTTGAGATAAGTCTCTGTAAAACTCAGTTCGATGTGATTTCTTAAGGCCAGTGCAGAGTCCAAAGTCGGACAGTTTTATGTGTCCCTAAATTGCCATCAAAATCACATTTTCACAGATTAGACAAATAATTAAAC